TCTCTATGACTCTATCACCAACTAGTTTTCTTTCCTATCGTACCTTCTGTGCCCATTTTTTTCTCTCAGCTTATTTCTATAAATGGTATTACACTCATGCTGCTTTCAGTTTCTCCCCTCCCCCAGCAGACCACAAATTTTATTAATTTTTCCACATAAAATTCTAAATCAAAACTCCACCAATATTAAACATTGCTTTTATTTTATCGCACATATCGCTTCTAAATTCATATGTGCATTCCTATTGCAGCAACAGGGAAAAAGTGAAAACTCTGGGGTAAATAAAAACATAGTAAAATCGTAGCAAAAACTCGCTGAAGCATTGCGAGTGTGATGTGTGTGGAGCTTCGGCCTAAAGCCTTAGAATAACCAATAAAAGTTAACGGCTATGAAAGCTTATAAGCTTGTTTAGATTTTGGTGTGCTTCCGCTTTTTATATGCCCAACTTTTTTGCATTCGATGCACACATGGAAAAATAGTTGCAAGCTGCTGTTTTCCAGAAACAAATACCCAGTTATACAGCAAACCATAGAAACGAGCAACTGCGGCAAACGGTGTTTAGATAGTAAATATAAACAGTAAAAATGCAGTGTGTTGCTAGCGACTGGTAGAAAAGTATCAAATGAGCGGCGAACGATCCACAGTAACCGTTGTAGTACTGTCGCCTCGAAGTAGTTGTGAGCCGCTGCTGTCGAAGCTTCAATTCAGAATTCTCAGGAAGCTCGCTATGTTCTTTTCTGGGTTTTGTGTCGAACCAGGAGCGTTCAATTCAGAATTTTCAGAAAACTTGGCCTCTATAAGGAGACTGAGAAATATTTGCAAATGGAAGTCCAAATTCGGAAGTAACTCATTGGAAAAAACAAAGTCAGGGCCTTAACGAGTTATCCAACTTTTCATGGTGATCGAAAAACCTCGCCGCACAAAGACACAATCGAGCTTTCTTGTCTCATTTGCGTCCAAAGATTCATTGGTACCACACCAACTCACATCAGCAGCTCATACTGGGACCTCATTGAGCGAAACCGCCTGCCAATGCGTGATATTTCGCCCAGCACTCTCAGTTTATGTAGTAATTTCTTGATTAACACCATTTAATTTTACTGCGCCTTTAACTTTTTATAACCAGAGGTATGGTAACTCTGCACACACACTAAAGTAACAGCGTAAATTTCGCCACAAAACTGGAATTCAGTTTTCGAAATGTGAAAACTTTTCTACCAACTTTTCGAGACTCACTCATTCGCCCATCAACTTGCGCACAGTAGGGCGGTTCTCTAAATTTATTCATGTGCTGATTCGGAGCTGTCACTTTTCATGCACTTTTCACGCTGCTTAGCCTCTGGAGCTATGGTACTGAGGAAAGAAAAAATCCTGTAGAATAGCGCGTAGATTTAGTGAAAAAAAAACGAGTCGGCGAGATGGAAGACAGCAACAGCGTTGAGAAAAATCTATTGCTATAAAACAAGAAGGTTCTTCTTGCAATTTTCGCTGACGAAATGCTGAAATGAGTATGTGAACTGCTTTGCTGTTGTTTTAGTAATGTGCGTCATTTAATATCTAATTAAAATTTTCTCCATAAATAGTTATATGCTAGTAATACATACAGCTCTGGCTATGGATGAGCTTGGAGCTCCAGTTTAATTTAACTTTTAGGCAATTACACACACACACACATACGTAGCCACACGCACGCATAAAGCATCACCGCAAACCGCAATGTCAAAAACGAAATTTCCACTACGCCTGTTAAAACGCTGTTCCTAAATGTATGCTACACTCGTTGGCGCACAACGGTTGTTTGCATAATAATTCGTGTGAGAGCGCGCTGACTTTGTTTGAAGCACTTTTGGGGTTAACATACTTTCAGATGGCAATTAGTAATTAAATGCTTACGCAATAATTACGCTGCTCATGAATAGAATTACAAAATATTTTAATTTTTTTGTTGTAAGTCTTTGATTAGTAACTTTTAACGTAATAAACAACTGTAATATTGGGTAGTCGAAAAAGTCTTTTCGTATTTCTAATCAAAATTCAACATATTTCTTTTATATTTATAATTCTTATTTTAGTTGCCCATTTTTCCGCTAAAGACATTATTTAATCAGTGTTAAACTTTTCTGGATGCATCAAAACTTCGCAGCCAAGCTCTCCCAGTTTTTGCAGAGTCATCAAAGACCTTAAGAGATTAATTTAACTTTACAATCCCACCTTTCTAATATGATATGATATGGCATACAATGATGTTGGTAGCACTGGAGATATACGACTGCAACGACATCTATTGACGAAATACGAAAAGACTTTTTCGAGTAGACAACATTCTTGCCTTGGAAAGTAACTATTTCTTTATGAAGGATTTTTTTGCTCTTATAAGCCTTCGAACTTTAAAAATTTAATCACACAGTATCTGTAACATCACGTAGGTTAATTTCAAAAACTACGTTTGTTAAAAAGTCTAAGTCTCAAAAACACTTTACGGCATACATTTAGGCGCAGGACCACTTAAGTATGCGTAAATCACACATAGTACTCCTCAAGGAAGACAAGCTGGATGCTGGAAAGAGCTGCAGTAGCAGCGCTAGGCACTATAACGGTACAATTACCTGCGGCACGTCGCCATTCGCACGTGCGTATCCTTTCAATTTCTCCGATTTCCAAAGCACCGTTATAAATAAATAAAAATGATTTTACACAAGCAAGCAGATCACAGACGCACGCACGCATGCATACGTGCCTATTTGCGTACACGCATGCGTTGCATTGGCTTTAGTCAATCTTATTTATTTCTATTTCTGATGCCATTTGCTAAGCCACACAGACTCATTCATTTATTTATTTATTTATCAAATGCACCGCTGCTTCGGCATTGCAATTTCGAAATTGCAAATTTAATGGCAAACTAATACATGCCAACGGGCATATGCGATCTGCTAGTGCCTGCACTCGCGCGCGTGTGTGTGAGTGCGTACGTCGTAAAAGGATTGAGAAATTGAATGCGATTTGCGTTGTTTGAATTTAAATTAAAGTTCAGCATTAATAATTAAGCTTAGATTTCTCGTTCAGCTTCGCACGTGCTCCCTATACGTCGACTTGTCGATATGTGAGCAGGCACGTAGGGCTCCTCGTCTTCTCGCATGCACACATTCGCCATTCGCCATTTGCGTTCCCAGCGAAAACGTGAAATTAAATGCTTACTTGTCTTTGGCGAAGACGTGCGCTGGCAATCAATGAGTTAAGTGAGTGTGAATGAGTCAAGCCATCAACGGGTTGACTCACTCACACGCACACACATGAGCGCATAAGTGGCGTAGCGCTGCAATTAATACATACCGACTATTGTAAGCTCGTACGCTTTTAGCCGCCAGTCAATCAGTTCATTTTGGTTTAATTGCGCGCGATTTTCTCTTTGAGGCATTCAATCTTAATCAAGCGCGCTCTAAGCGCATTTACATCGACTGCGCACACACATACACACACATATATATATATAGTATATATGACAATATCTGACATGCGTGTGTATCTGCGGCTTTGTGCAAGAAGTATCTAATTACATACAGTGTGCTTTCATTGCATTCTTGCACCGTTAATCCTCTGCTAAGCACTTGGCAACCATTTAAACTCATTACTCGTACAGCGAGGGAATAAGTACTAGCAAAGAACTATTTTTTGAGTGAGTCAAGTACTGTTTATTCAAAACTCCCTAACTCCAGGCGAAATCGGCGTTACGACTATTGGCTGCAGAGGAGTTTATATGTAGAACCTTAATATCCATAACTCAGTGGATAATGGCGGTTGAGCAAATACCGTCTACATGAACCCACTTTTCAACTGCGAAAGAAAGTTCAAAGGTTCAGATGGCTGGCGTAAAAATGACTGGATTACTAACTGGTCACAGTCTGGTGACGGCACACAGAATGAAGCTGACAGATCGTGGAGACGGCAGGAATTGTTTCGAATAGGGAACCAGGAGGATATCTTGTGCATTTGCAGGCATCTTAAAGGATGACTACTACTCTTGCAGTTGGGAAGTATCCAAGGTATCCCAAAGGACTTATAACCTACCAGTTTAACCTAACCTAACCTATATCTATGGCTTCCAATCATAGATCTTAGATCTTAGCTTAGATCTTCAACATTAGTTCATGAGCTTTTGTATTCTCGGGTGTGACTTTTTTTGTACATATACGTAAAGTTTAAGTTCTTAAATCACAGAATGTTTGCAGATCTTCATTGGTTCTCAAGGAGAGTGAAGTTAACTTTTTGTTTAATTTCGTACAATTACTTTTTTAAACTGATTACCCAAGAATAAACTTCCTCGACGGTAACGGACACTATTTTTGGACTCCTTAGGTCGTTTTTTCATACCCCTCAGTGCTATCTTGGGCATTTGAAAAAGCAAAAATAACTTCTAAAGAGTGGTTTGTTTGTTTCGGATGTGTAGATCATCCACCCACCATTTTGGATTGAATTCCAGCCTCCCTATACCTAGCTATATCTAAATAGCTACCTGAGCCTCCCTGATGAGGCCTTTCATTCCTTAAACCAATTACTTCAAATATTGTCATGGTGTTTATCGAGGATTTTGAGGCATGTAGAGCTTGCTTTTTAAGCAACCCCTTTGAACTTTTTGACATTTCGTTTTAATATATGGCATATCGTCAGCTGAAATGCAAAATAACTCAACAACATTTTCGAAAATTTACAGTGGCATGAAACAAACACGAAATAAAATAGAACATGATTGAAAAGCATTTTAATATTGAATAAAACTGGTTTATATCTGAGCGCAATACCTGAAAATGTTGAACATATGTAATGTTATGTATGAAGTTTGAAGTTTGAAGTAATGAAGCGTAATCAATAAGACACTCAATTTCATATTTTTCGTTGATACGTATTTTGCATTTCAAGTGACGATATATTCCTCAAATGCCCCAATCTTATCACCAAGCACAAGTAATTTTTATTGATTCCACTTTTTTTTTCTCTCGCAGATTCTCAACATTGCATACACTGTTTCTACGCGCTTTAAAACGGTAAGTGCACAGACACATAAATATTTGAACACCTGTATGACTTTATGTAATTTTTTTTTGGCATTCCGCGCTACCGTTGTGGCTCATATAATTTCCAATGACTTCTACAAGCAATTTTACTTCATTTATTGTTATTATGCGTACCTTTTCTCCTGTATTTTGTTATTCTTTTATGTTTTTATTTGTCGTCTTTCTCTTCCTCCCTACTAGAGATGCGACATGGGATTTTTGCTCGCATCGCGAAGGTAGCTTTTTTATGGCGTTATAAAAATCACTTTTATGATCATCTTAAATTTAATTCAGTGCTTAGCACAGACAGCAATCATTTAAAGAGAAACATTAGGAAGAAGTATCTGTAAATAAATGAAGGGACATATGTCTATTGACAACCACGACTGCATGAAATTTCTAAAATCACCACACATCACACTTAGTACTGAAGACTTTTAAGTGACGAGTGTTTAGACGAGTGCGAGCAATAGCGTGAGTTGTTGGTTTGCGTCATTGATAAATGCAGCGAGGAGTACATATTGGTCACATCTTGAAGTCCCAAAGATGTATATAGCTCAATTTCAAACTCTTTAAAGTTCTGCAGATGAGAAAAGGTGTGATTATGATAGATATTTTTGAACAAATCTGCATTTCTTGGATTTTGCAAAAATCTCATTAGTTTTTAAACATGCCTTCCAAATCCGCTTTTAAAACATATAGGCCCCTTTCAGACTATTGGAAAAACCTTTTTTACTTTCTAAAAATCCTATACATTTCTCTTGATACAACACTTTTATGGTAATGAATCCTCTTAACTGCTTAGAAAAAAATGTGAGAATGGCATAAATGTAACGGTGTGCGCTTTACTAAAAGTTCAATAGCAATCCACAAATTTGTGTCTTGGCTAAATGTTGGCATAGCGTTTAACTCGTTTTCTTTGAATTTCAAATATCTCTTCGCACTTCATTTTCCATGTAAGCTGCTCTTCACCCAGCATTATTTTCTCAAAACATTAATTTTTTAGCAATAACATACTATTCCAGCACGCTTTCGCTTCTTTTTCTACTTCCATTTCTACTTGTATTATATTTTTTCTCACAGAAATCCCAAGTTCCAGTTTTTTATGTGCACTCACGCGCATATTTACGAGCCCAAGCAAGTGCGCTTCAGTGGCCGATTTAACCATTAAAATATCGTTGAGTGACGGCTAAAACGTTGCTTTAGTGGCGGCGACGAGTGGCTAGCAAGCCTGCAGAACTGTGTCCGAATCTATGGCGATGGTCACCATAGCTGCCTCGATGGCTGCTTTGACTACTTTGGCGCTCGCCTTTCGGTGGCGTTGCTGAATTTTATATTACTCTCTGTTTTTTTGCTCGCTTTCCATTTTTAGTATTTTTTGTTTGAAGTTTTTCTCCTGAACTCCATTTGCCACTCACTCCTCTTCCTTTCATGTTCAAAAGGCCATTTGCTGCATTTTTTTGTAGCTGCTTGCTGGTTGCTGGCAGCAACAGTTGGCGCGAATACAAGGAGAAAACCATACGCAAATCACTTCACGAATTCAATTGTGTGTGCGAATATGTGACCCCAAACCGAAAGGCTTTTAATAGATTCTGTTTCCAGCTTTTTGTGATTCGAGGTTCGGTCATTGCTACCTTGCGTCACAAAGAGACGTAATATTTTAATTTTGAATATTAAATTTTATAGAAACTCTACATCAGCACTGATTTTCGAAGCACAACTTCCTTGGAGGATTTGAAAAGAGCATGGTTTGTCGGGAAAGTAATAGAACTCATTTTCTTCCGCCACAACTTTACTTCGGAGTGTGCGCGCACAGACTGGATTCGGTAGAGGGCGTTCTGAGCTAACGAACCAGCGGCTGGTAAGTTGTCTCCGAACACCAAGCCGTAAATGTAGTGTTCGTTAGAAAAGGATACACGATTAAATTCTTTGTGAAACTCGGTAAATCTGCGACAGAAACGTTTGATATGATCAAGCAGGCTTACACAGATGTTGCTTTACCAACAAAGTGAAAACAATGCTCATTGTCTTTTTTGATATCAAAGGCATCGTCCACCATGAATTTTTTCCTCCTGGGCAAATAGCCAAGTTTTTCGTGGAAGCCCTCAAGAGACTCAAACGAAGAGTCAGTCGGGTCCGACAAGACATCGCAGCCGATTGGACATCGCACCACGACAACACCCAGCTACTTAATCAAGGCCGACATCCCCAACTTCGGCAGCCGCCCTACAGTCCAGATGTAACGAATATATCGAACTAACTTATTGGTTCTAATATATAACACGAAAAGTTATGATGTTTTGCTTTAAATGCCTTGAATTCGTATTTTATTTTATTTGGAATTAAATATTAATTTGCGTTAATGAAATCCTAAATTGCTTTGAGTATACCTCATGCAAAAGCCTCTTGTTCTTCTCTCTACGGCTTTCTTGCTCGATTATTGATAATTCAATTCCATCCCAAATCCTAGTCAGCTCTCCTTATAACCATCCATTTTCACTCCATTCTCATTGTGGTCATATTTCGAAGCCAAAAAAGGTGATAGACTAGTCCGGAAAAATTAAGTAAGCTTTCACTATCCCAGCAATCCTCATTAAACTTATTCATTATCGCTCTTCCGGTGCCTTTCATTTCCAGTCTCTGACCCGTTACTGCTCTCAGTCAATCTGCTCTCACTGTCTTTAGCTGCGCAAATGCATAAGGTAGTGACTGCCGCTTTCAATTCTTTGCGCTTCTCACGCTCATCCTTATGTTTATCGGCGCTTCTGCTCTTCTTCTGCGCGTTGCCGAATGCGATCGTTTTTAAGATCTGCGCATAAAAGCCTAACTTCGTCTCCAGAGCCATATCTATGAAGAAACGCTGAAAATCCAGACGACCCATGCGTCGACTGCCAAGCGCGTAATAATCCGCGTTCGAATTCTCAAAGCGATATGTCATCATGATCGGATAGAACTGTGGCAGCAAACGCGATACGTACACCTTGAAATTAACCTTGGTCATTGCCAGCGGTCTGCGCTGCTCCAGGTGACGTGAAAAGTATGCGCTCAGAGTATAGGTGCAGCCCTGTGGCTGCTCGCTCACCGCATCCTTTTCCAGATGCACCTGATACTGTGTGTTAGGCGTGAGGCGCCACATGCTCAGGTAATCGTAGACCAGCTGCACCAGCTGATGCAGCGAGAACTCATCAATGCGGAACCAATCAATGCGCTTATTCGCATTAGTTTCGGTGACAGCGCGTATGCTGCTCTGTCGCTCCTTCGCCGAAGTGGAAGCGCTTTCGGTGGCAACGGGTGCAAGCTTTAAACGATTGTTCGCTTGTATCTCACACTCCCGTGGATACTTGTAGAGGAACTGCTCTGCGGGATCGGACACTATCCACGCAATTGCCTCGTTGATGGCTTTGCCCACGGCAGCATTAGCGCAAAGCTGTATGTCCTCCATGGGGGTTTTGCTGCAAGACGCTTTCTGTTGCATGGCTCAGAGAGAAGTGCAGTTCTAGAGCACACGAGAGAGCGTCGGAAGTTTAGTTAACGTAGAGTTCGAAATTTTACAATTTCACAATAAATTTTTATGAGTTCTTCTCCGAACAAAAATTTTATAGACCAAAACACTTGTTGTACAAAAATTTTGACTATAACGACAATGTCAATTATTGAAAATAAAACGAACGAGCTTGTGCAGGGCAACCCAGTGAAAAATAATAAAGTTTTGTGGAGACTTCATTATGTAGACAACGGCTCGGCGCTATTTGACTATAATACCGGAGTAACAGAAAGGAATTCCCGCTGAAAAAACATCCGTAACACACACAACTGGTGCAACCATTATCGAGTGAATCCCACAAGTAACTAAATACAGGTAACCCTAAACGATTCAATGTATTAACTCAAGTAATTCCCGTTTTAATGAAATCTCAGAACTCAGAAATATTTTATGTAGTTCAGATTCGCCTCGCATTGTCACAGCCTTCAAGCCATGTGGACATCGCTTTGTATCCAATTCATTTTACCACTGAAGGTATGCTGTGTTCGCTTTTGCTCTACTTCTTGCCCAAAATAAGTTGCAGATTAAGTACTCAGTGGAACCCTTAGTAAATGTGACCGGTTCTTCGGAGCTAAGTGCTCTGTCAAATTGCGGACACAGAGTTGCTGGCTGCGGCTGATTGAATCTTTGCTTCTCTATAAATTATTAGCATTTCCTCTATCCAAATCCTTATTTAAAATTATTTGTACGCGTTTTATTACGAACTTCCCACCGCAGCTCTAGAGAGCTGTTTTTTTATTTTTGTTTCATATTTTCGTACAATTATTGTAAACAACTATTTAATTGCAACCATTAGGCATTCACTATGTCACTGGGGTCACACATGCCACCCCACAAGCTGCTGGCCATTCTTATCACAAGCCAGTTCAATGTACGCTACCGCCGAACAATGGCGCTCTAAGCGCGCTGCTCGGGCATGGGTTTAACATTAAGCAGATCCAAGTTTCAGCAAAAAATCCCCAAAGTCCATGAAACGCTCTTGAGACGTACATAAATTCAAAACTGTTCACAAAATTAATTACATTTGCTGTTGCCCTCGATTTGGCGCGTTGCTTGACAGCGATGCAGACAAGTTGATAAAGAATGTCCTTTGTGTGGATGTGTATGTTTGTGTGTGTAAGCAAAACAAAAGCAAAGATTGTATACAAAAAGCGCAGCCGAGAGTTGCGTCTGTTGAAGTCGAACGTATTTTATTTCGCTGCTTCTTACTTCTATTTACGCCACGCGAGCTGGCAAGCTGAGTGGATTCCCACGCCGAATGTGGGAGCAAAGTGATCAGCAGTCAGACATGCCACTCATTCACTGGCTTTTCGGCCTGCTTTCGCAGCCTACGTAGCAGCCTACCAAAGATCATGAGTCGGTTTATCTTTGCCTTGCATTCCTTGGCTTTGTTAGCACAGCGAAATCAGCATCTCATTCATTCCTTCTGGGCTGCCGTGGCTCTGCGCCTCGTATACCTCATTGTTAATCTGCAATTATCGCATTTGTCTCTGTGATGATGCGATTTGTTCCCTCGATTTATCCACTTCGTTCTACAATGCGCGCCTACTCTCGCACTGCTTAGGGCGCTGCGCTGCTGTCTGTGACTTGACACAATGCCGCAAGCAACAGTGCTGGGCTCTAGATACTCATAATTCCATTTTCGATTTCGGCCCTCTTTCATTAGTGCAACCCACTAGTGCCGCTACGAAATTCCCCAAATCGCCTGTCAGCGCTACAGGTGACTTGGTATCATGTGCGGGCATGTGGTGTGCAATTCACCAAAGGCCTGGCAGTCAACAAGATTTGTTATCCTCGCACTGTTGTTATTGGTTTCGCAGCTCGGTCAGTTTGGCTTACTGTCGATTTTCCATTGAATCACCGCTCTATTTTATTAAATTTTCTGTCATTCATTTGATTTCTAAACCTTTAACTTGTTCAGTAAAGGAGAAACTTTAAAAGTGACCTAAAATTATGGGGCAGCCAAAACGCTTTTTTAGTGAAGTTAAAGAGGAAAGCTTGTGGTCGCAAATTTGGCTGTTGAAAGTTACAATTCAGTCCAGTTTCTATAAGCGGTGGCTTGAGAGTTTCATACAAGTATGTATTCTCCTAGCTTACCAATAAATTAATTAAAATTATGGTTCACTCTCGAGGATAGAAGTTGTCCTCAGTGCAAGGCTGGTAGATTCTGCACTAAGTTTTGAACTTCAATCACTAAATTAATTTTTAATAGTTTCCCTAGAAAACCATTAGTATCCCAAAATCGGTTCATCGAGGCGATACTGATGTATCTCCGGTGTTTTTAAACACTTGTTCTACCATATATAAGAAATATTTTGAAGTCCATCGTTGGTTCGAAAAGTTTTCTTCCACGTTTTACTTCGCGGATCGAATTCGAGCGCATTTATTCGCTTTTTGAGGCTTCTGGAAGATGTATCAAACTCGACTTAGAAATCTGTTGGCGCTACTTTCTTATTTTCGTTCTCTCATAAAAGAGATGAAAGGCCTAAGTGATTCTTGTTTGAAACATTACTATGAGGACTATGAGCAATGCTTCCTCGCATCGCGCCCTTCATACTAATATACCTCCATTTACCTCCATCTTACTCTCTAACTCGCATTTCACCTCTTTCTCTCTCTGTAACGCTGGTATTCTCTCTATCTCTGTCTCTTCTTCGACAATGGAAAGCTTAGAATAATATATATTCTCTCCATTCCCTCTTATCCATAATCTCATAAATAATTTTAATTATTTAACTTTAATTTGAGCATAATAATTCTGTTTGCTGGTAGTCACGTGACTTGGTACTTTACAAAGTCAACATTAAATTTGTCAACTAAATAGGAAATAATAAAAGTAGGCAACAAATCTAAGCATAACACCAACAATATTGTTGCGAAAACAGCCACAAGTAATAATCAACTAGGCGTAAGCAACGACAAATGGTTGCGACAATTTACAGCTGTCGGCTGCAGTCCGCAAGCGACGGGCGCGACGTGACTGGCCAAATAGCAACAACAATAACAGTATGGTGTGAGGACGGAAGAAGGAAAATGGATGAGCAGAACCGGAAAAAAGGAGTGCAAAAGCCGGAAAAGTGGAATGGAGAAGAACCGAAGAACCGAAGAACCGAGGCGCTGACTCGTGATAGGCACACAAGCAGACGAAGACAGAGACCGCGAAAGGGCAACAGTCAATATGCGTGGGGCGACAGGCGTCCGACTGTGGGAGCAACAATGTTGCGCAACATTGTTGCTTGCTATTTGCTGTTTGCGCTTGGTTGTGCGCTGCCAGTGTACCCGGGCAATAACCCGACGTTGTCTTCACTGCTTTTATAGCTCGTTTGTGCAACTTACGGATTTTTGTGCTACAACGGTTTTTTGCTGCCATCCCGCATTCATTATATGCATATTATTGTTGTCGCGTTACTGTTGCATCTGCCAGCTTCAGCCGTGGCTACTTCCGACTGCATGGAATGCAAAATGTCTGCGGCAACAACAATGTAAAACGTAAAAGTGGTGTGTAAACAGCGCCAAAAGGGTGTGAAAGCAAAACAATAACGTTGATGTGGCCAGCAATAATAATGAAGGGAGCAGTATTATGCAATAAAAAGCGTAGCAGAAAAGGATTTTGATGTCAGACGTCACTAACACGCTCAAGCGGTTAAGCTTAAGTAACTGCCAGCGCAGCATTTGCTCATTAACGAGCACTGTTTCTACGCTGCTGCTTTGCTTTCTTTAGTTACGCGACGACTGTTTTTTAACTTGTCGCAAATGGCGCTTCTCATTCTCATGGACTGGGATAGACTCGTCTTACATGAACCGTTAGTTTCACCGAAAGGGGAAGACGGAACCTTGTGCCTGCCTCATTTCCAGCATTAGAATCTAAAAATTTATTGAACCAATCGTAACAATTCTTTAAAAACTTTCAAAATAGGCTCTTTCTTGAGAGCTGAGGGCATGCTGATTGGACCCCCTTTCATCGGCCTTTTCAGGCAAGGACGGTATTGGCAGTTTGTCCCGGCGGAACAAATTCATGGTAGACGATGCCTTTGATCTCAAAAAAGACAATGAGCCTCGTTTTCACTTCGGATTTGCTCATTCGTGTTAACTTCTCCCATAATCCACACGAAAGATTGGCCTTCATGAAATTTTTTGTGGTTGGAGTGTCTTTCATAAATTTTCATTAAGGATCCGTTTATTTCAAATTCGATAGAATCTTTCAGTTTCGCTCCTTTCTCTCAAGAAAACCGGTATAGAGATAGTCAACAAAAGTTTTCTTCCCTCCAGCTCTGGCAGAATTTTCCCTTCACACTTACGAGATGAACTTTCCGTTCGCTGAGCCATTTTCATTCACGAAACTTAAAAATGTATTTTCATGTATTTTTTTCTGTCCCCTTAACCAAACTGATGCTCACTTCCTCGTTCGCGCGAGGCGAGCTCAAGGACTTTTGGGAAAATTACGAATTCATTACTGACATTTGACATTCACGCTTGCCAAATATGCCATGATTTATTTTCTGCCAGTCATTAGAGCAATCGAGAGCAAAAAGTACACAATAAAAATATACATGGGCCAAACAACAACAACAATGTAAGGCGTTGTAGAAACAGCTGTAATGAAGGCAATGCCGAGCTGAGCGTAACAAGAGCGAGTGTGTAACAAAGAGTTGAAATGTCTTATTTTCGAAGGCGATGGCTTTTTTCGCTTGGCTAATATTGTACATGCCGGATATTTTTGTTGCGATGATTTGTTGAAAATGCACAAGCAGCAGCAACGACAGCAGCAGAAGGGCAAGCAGATGAAGAATAAGAAGAAGAGTGATGAGCTATGGCATTTTGTTAAGTCAATCAGGCGTCAGCTGGACGAACAGGCAGCAACGATGTGCTTGCGGAAAAACTAAAAGAAGTAATAAAATTCAAGAAAACACACACATATGCATACATAAATGCATAAATACGTGTTTGTAAGATGTTTTTATTAGAATTTTGCAATTGCATAAAAATACAAAATTTTCACTTACGCCTCACTCAACGCACACTACAAACACACAGCACTTCACAACCTCAGAAACTTAT